ATTTAAGATAAGAAATGTATCCTTTAGACATAATAAAAAGAAATAATATTGAAAATATGATCTTATAATAAAAGATGTTTTAAAAATAAGACCCAATTTTTTAATATAAATAAAAGTGACATATATATAATCCAAAGTTATAAAGTAAATAAATTGTGTTATACTTTGTTATAGAATTTTTAATAAAAATATTATCTTAGTATAAAAAAAATTAAGAAGTATATTTTTGGAACATGTTGAAATTGATAAGATTTATGTTCTTTGAAAGATTTGCTCAAGTACTAATAGTTGTTTATTATAGAAAATACTTCTTTAAAATTTTAATCAATATTAAAAGTAATCAAAGATATTACAATTAAAATAAATGATCATTTATAAGGTATAGATTAGAGGTTTTTTGAAACTAAAGAAAATATATATATATATATATATACATTTTTGAAACTTGGATATTAAAATAACTCATAGAGTTTTTTTGATAAGATAATTTTTTTTGATAATTATTCGAATAAAATGTATAAAAATAATAATATTAAAAAACATTCAATACTTTAAAACAAGAAACATAATTATTTCCTATTTGATTATTATTAATTTTTATATATTATATTTAAATAAATATAACATATTTTAAAAAAATATATCAATCATAACATGTCTAAAATATTAATTATTATTATTGTATTTTATTAAAACTAAAAAAAATCCTATATCAATTAGTATAAGAATTTATTCAATTAGATTAGCAATGTTAGTTATCCTTATTTCTAAATACCAGGGTATAATATTCATAAAAAATTATCAAAAAATAGCAAAAAAATACTATCCACATATATTTAATTGCTTAAAAAATATCTTAAACTTCTATATTATTTTTAATAAATTTATTTAAAAAAAACATCATTATAAAAAGTAATTTAAAAAAATATAATTAATATTTGGTAAAAACATTTATAATTGTCTTGTAAATAAAGGTATATATTTTTATAAAATAAAATAATGATTATAGTTATAATTTTAAAACCTTTTTTTTTTAGTTGAACTTAGTTTATAAGGATTTAAATTATTCAAAATATTAATAGAAAGAATGTATTATGCAACTATATGAAAAAAATCTCAATTTGATAAGATACAAAAGTTTGAATAAACTATTTAAAGTAAAAAAGATGCTTATATATATAATTTCACTTGATACACAAAAAAATTAAATTTTTTTGGTATTATTAAATAAATCAAGCAACATGATATCTTTAATATAATTTAATATAGAATATTTTTCAAACTTGATATCATTTCTTAATAAATTATAAAAACTTGATATGTTTCATTCTACTTAATCCAAGAATTTTTAAGTTAATTTTATTCTAAAATGAATTGAATAACTATTCATTTTTTACTCAATTTTATATTAAACATTGTTGTATTATGTGAAGTCTACTTGAGAATGCACTGAATATTTAATTGTGGAAGAAAAAATGGAACTTATAACATGATGATCCTAAAAACTCTAATAGAATTCTAAATAAATTTTAATTAAATTATATAAAATACTAATCAATCTTTAATTAAATCCAAAAGAACTATCAAGAATTTACAAAAGAAACATAAAGAAATCATAAATTAACCTTCATAAAATATATATAATAAAAAAATCTTAAAGAAATATTTAAAAATATTGAAAATAGAAATTTTAATTAAATTCTAATCAAAGCCTATTTTAATCCTCAATAAAACCTAATGAAATCCTAAACCAATCCAAACCAAATCTTAAACAAAATCCTAATGAAATCCTAATAGAATCCTTTCTAAATCCTAATCAAATCTTAAATTCTAATGAAACCCTAATAAAATCTTAAGTCTTAATAAAATCCTAATAAAAGCCTAAATCCTAATGAAACCTTAATAAAATCCTAAGTCCTAATGAAATCCTAATAAAATCTTTTTTAAACCTTAATTAAATCCTAAATCCTAATCATAGACCAAACTCTAATGAAATCCTAAATCCTAAATAAATCCTAATCAAATCCTAAATCTTAATCAAATCTTAATCAAATCCTATCCTTAGATCAAATCCTAAAGAAATACTAAATCTTAAACAAATTTTAATCAAATCTTAAATAAACTCTAATTAAATCCTAATCAAATCCTAAAATCTAATGTTAAACTAAAATCTAAGAAAATCCTAACCAAATCCTAGACCTTAAATCAATCTGAATCAATTCTTAATCAAAAAATAAATATTAAACAAACTCTTAACAAAACCTACAGTAAATTAAAAATTCAATAACTAATGCTTGAACAATTGATTTTGACTCAACATTTTTAAAATTTGCAAAAACTAAGTTAGCAAAAAACACAAAAATTTCAAGACGATTGTACATACCAAATAGATGATATCTCCTAAACTTTGCTTGAGTGTCAACTAGCGTCCTTCTCCAACCTTGATGTTGATATTTTTGAATCATGATCTCTTAATTTCATTGTTCAATTGGTTCCAAACTTTGCACAATTTTTGGAAGTCAAGCTAACTAAGTTTGAAAAAAATCGTATTTCAATCCATCTAGTGGATTGATAGATATCTTAGAAATCTTCACTAGTCTTCAAAATTCCAATTTTCAAGACCATAACCCACAAAAATCCTCATATGTGTCAATCTAATTGCTTGATCAACCTCACATTTTTCATACACATTTACAATAAGTATAATAACAAATTGACAAATTTTCATTTATAAACATGCTACGAAATTTATAAAATCTTTAAACTTATAAACTTATTTTATTTCTCAAAATCTAAACCCATTGAGTACATTACTAACTTTGAAAATCCTTCAAAACCTCAATTTTAATCCAAATAATATAAAGCTAACTCTTTAAAATTTCTTCTCAAGTTTGCTCTCAAAAAAATACTCTTTGATTAACAAAACAACCCTAGAAACAATGTAGGTACTTGGTTTTGTTCTCCATAGTCTGATTTTGACCCTAATTGTCAACTAATCCTCTCTGGGTATCAATTCTTGTTTTTTTGAGATAATTTTTGCTAAAATCAATTCTTAACTTCTTCCTTCATATGCTTATATTCTTTATTTTTTTTAATCTACCTTTTTTTGCTTTATTTATTGCCATACAAAATAAATAGAATCCATTTTCATAAAAGACATTTCTGATACTACAATATTTTATTACTTGCATATCTTTTATCTACGTTTTTTTACTATATCTTTTTAATTAGGCTCTTCTATAATAAAAAATTTCTTTCTTCTTTCACCTAATAGCTATATTATTATATAAAAACATTGATCAAACTTAATATCATTGTCAATTAAAAAAGACCATCTTACATCTTTGACTTATCTTAACATGAGTGTTTGCTTGAATTTAAAATCATTGCTAAAGGAATTTAGTAACTTTACATGTTTTACTAAAATTAATAGACATGATTCTTAAATCTTGATATTATTATAAAATAAATTAAATAACCTTACAACTTTTTTCTTAATCAAATATTAAAATTTAATCAAGCTTCAAATAATTTTCAATGAAATTTGGAATCATTATATTTTTTTATAAAAATACAAAAAATAGATATTAGAACTTAATTTAATCATAAAATAAATTGACCCATCTTTTATTATCAAATAATCTTTGTAAAGTTTTTAAAGGTTGATATTCATACCAAATAAACTAAGTATTTAACATATTTAATTCATTTACATTTTTTTAGGCTGTCAAATTTAATACCATTGTTTGATCATTATTTTATTATTCTATTATATATATATATATATATATATATATGGATTAGTAGAAATTTATGTTATTGGCCAAAAAAAAGATATAAAAGTTTTATTTGATATTTCTAAGTCAAAAATAGACTACTTCTAAAGAAATATTGATCAAGATAAGAAAAAGAAAAAAATAGTATATGCATAAAAATGGAACCATTTATATTTATTTATTATAATCAAAAAATATATTTTTTATTTATTATAATCAAAAAATATATTTTTTATTTATTATAAAAATAAAATAGTTAAGTTAAGAGAAATTTTAGATAAACTATATTTATGGTGGTATATTTGTCTTTATTACTTTCAAGATATAGGATCTTGATCATATTTAGAGACGTGCATTGTGAGAAAACATATAATTGTCCATATGCAAATATTGGGGTTCTAAGATCTATTCTTACATTCTTCAATGATTATCTTTGAGATTTATTAATAATCTTTTGAGGAGATTATTTTTTGCTACCTGAAGCCTTAGTTACAACTTGGTTTTACTGTTCACAATAGAAATGGTGCCAGATTTTGAATTTAGCCTCGCTCTCAGGAGCCAAACATTAAGTAGGATAATAGACTCTTCCACTCAGTCAGTGCTGTATTTCACGCGAATCTATGTCTTTTCTCAGCAATAATCAGTCATAAGAAGGGCCTACACTGAGAGGACGCGACTGGTTTTTTGAATTGTGCACGGGAAGATACTCATTATTCCAGATCCCTTCTACGTTAGTTCTCGTTTCTGTCTGCAGTCTGATTTTTGAGAGAAAAGTACTGCATGTAGCTTGGCTCTAGTCAACAGCAGGCCTAAGTGTGCCGTAGTCAAGTTTACCATGTCTTGAGCTCCAACAATAATTGATTCTCGAGGTAGTGTACCCACTGCCTTGAGGGCGAGCATAGTTCTGAAGTGTGCCTAGTCAAGTAACAATCTGAGATGTCCAGTTGAATGGCAGTCTGTTCGCTTCGAGATCCTGTACTGGCCATTGAGATGTACAGCTAAATGGCAGTCTGTTCTCTTCGAGATCCTGTACTGGCCATTTAAGACCTAATATGTAGCACCCCGTCAGAGCATACACACGATAACAGTCGTTAGGTCTTCGCCGCTATACTGGGCTTAGGTCACAGTTCTGGGGAGCACTTCTATCAGCTTGTGATAACAATGAGCTAAGGTTCGATATTTATCAAAGGGACTGAGGAACTGAATGTGGCCTGGAATGTTGCAATGACCAGAAGCAGTAGCTCGGGATCTCTTTACGATGACGTTTTCGGGGGCCCCCCAACGGGGGTCAGCTCGTCCAACAACGACTTTGGTGACCTGTTGGGAGGATTCAAAACTTCAGGATCTAGGCCGCTGTCCAGCCAGAACTCCTTCCCCGATGACTTATTGGAAGGGTATAGTGCTTCCAAGCCACCGCAAGCAACGGCTCACGCTTCTTCGAGTTCTCTGGATGACATTTTCTCTGGAGGACTGCGTCAAACTCGAACGTCGGTAATGAACCGCGACGATGACCCGTTTAGTTCATTCAGCATGCCGAAGCCCGAGCCGAAGGTGGCACAATCTCAGACGCTATTCGACGACGATTGGAACTTCGGTGCGTCCAAGTCCAAGCCTGCGTCGAGAGAAGCGACATTGCATGCTTCTATCGACAGTGACCTGCTGGGAGATTTTTCAACATCTGGGAGCCGTTCGAAGGAGGCGAGGCCGTTTCGATCTCCACATTCTAGCCCCCCTGGAGCCAAGCATTCCGAACCTGTGTTCGACGAGTTTCTACCAGGGTTCGATGGCGGCGACCAGGGGAAGAGGATTGCGGTATCAGACGCAGACGAAATGCGGGGCATTCCGATCATAAGTACAGATGATGACGATGTATTTAGCAGCATCCCTAGCTCCACATCAGCTACCACGGCAGATCCTTTCCGAGGCATTCCCGGCGCCAGGTTTGATGCTGAACCTGATGCCTCTCGAAGAATGCCCCCTGTTACACCCCTAGATGCAGCGGACGAAATGCGCGGAATCCCGCCCATGTGCTCCTCTCCGATAGTGGATAATGCTCCGTTCTCCTCAGCCGCAGAGGTGGATCCTTTCGCCAACATCATTGCGGATTCTGTTCCCCCTCCTGTTGCTTCTCAGTCGGATCCGCTGGACCCCTTCAACATGCCCCCTGCTTCCGTTCCCTCTAATAATGATGTTAGTGGGGGATCGGGTGCTCAATTCAGCAATGAAGGTGAGTCGTATGCTGCTTTCGATGGGTTTCCACATCTATCGCCTGTGACCACCTCGAAGGTCAAGGAGTCGACTCCAAGCCGCTCAGGATCCGGTTCAGACGGCAGAGAAGGATCTCAAGGTTCGGGCACCTGGGATGACAAGCCTTCAAGGCGGGGATTTGGTAGCGTCCCGTACAACGTGGACCTCAACGAGGCTCCCGAAATGGCATCTCCTATGTACCCGTCAGGCAAATATGATAGCCGGACCGAGACGGGGTCGAACGGCTACGCACCGAAGTTCGATACCGAGCCGAAGTTCGACGAACCGTCCGTGCCGGGAGACGAACGCAGCAACAGCAGCAGGCACGATACTGACAAAGTGCCTAAAGACATTTTTGAAGAGAAATGGTTGACTGTCGATGATTTGAAACTGGTGACGGCGCCTTCCGCGACGCGACCCCCTTCACGTGCTCCTCCAAGGCCTGGATTCGACAAGAGCAGAAGTTCCAGGAGTGCTGCTAGCCAGAGGGGCAGTGTCGGCGAGGGAAGCTGGGGAAGATCCGATGAGGTGCCAGCGTACAGGGGCAGCAGGTCTAATGGGCCGGATGCCTCGAAGGGGGACGAATTGAAGAGAGAAAAGGCAGCTGCCAGAGGACGAGAAGCGGCCTTGGTGCTGAAGGAACGAGAGGCTGCAGAGCGGGAAATGGCGGCGAGGCAGAAAGATAGAGCCGCGAGGCAGAAAGAGAGAGCAGAGAGACAGAGGGAGAGGGAAAGACAGATGGACTGGCTGAGAGAACAGGAGACGCTGAGGAATGCCGAGCATGTGGGGGAGAGGGTCGACACCAGGAACGAAGCGGCGAATGCTCGAGATGATGAGGCTGCAGAAAGGACGAGAAAGGCGGCAGAGAGAGCTGCCAAGGAAGCGCAGCACAGGATGGAGAAGGCGGCTGCCGAGAGGGCGATCGCCGAAGCTAGAGTGCGAGCAGAGAAGGCCACATTGCAGAGGGCGGCAGCAGCTCGCGACCAGGAGCAACGAGAGAAGGAGCAGAAGGAGATTCATCTGAATATATATTATATAATATTTATATAATTATATCAACATTATATTGTCCATATTATAATTTATATTTAATATAATTTACACAATATATTAATATAACATAATATATAATATAATTTATGTTATTATATTTATAAATAATAAATAATATTATATACATATATAAATAATATGTATTATTATATAATTATATGATATAAATAAGTTATTATATATATATATATATGTGATATATTTATAAATAATACAATTATGTATGTATATATATTATATTATATTATATAAAATATGATAACTCTTATATAATATAATTTAATACAATAATTTTATTGATATAATAATTATTTATGATATAAAATATAAAAAATTTGAGCCATTCACAATGACATTTCTAAACCATTATTCTAGTTGGAAGGCGCTTAACTTTCTGATGAGATATGTAGTAGCCTTGGTATGACTACATCACAACACTCCACATAGCTCACCTTGTTCAAATCCAATGCCTCCTCCTCTACAACTTTGTAGTAATTACAACTTACATAGCATAAGTTAGTAATCATAATTTTTGTAGCATAAGTTAGCAATCATTTTGTAGTATGCACAAATAAACAAGGGCCACTTAGTATATCAAAATGAACCCACTCATACCTCACCTCTCTTCTCTCATATTGTTAGCTATTGAAGTAAACTAACTAATTATTTCCCTTACTAACACTAACTATTGGTAGTTGCTACAAATTATAATCTCACTCTTATAGTTATCTTCCTATGTCATTTTTTTTATTCAATTACTTTATTTTATTTTATTTTTATTTTTTTGAGTTCTTATAATATTTTTTTTCTTCTCAATTTTTTATTATTTGTTAGATTTTTTAATCTTTATCCTCTTGTTTATCTCAAAAAATAAGCATTAATACTTTATTCATATTATTTTTTCTTTTCATATTTTTAAAGAAATTTCATTTATATTTTTTCATCTCTATAATATGGACTATTTTTATTTTTATTTTTATTTTTTTTTAATTCAGGATTATTTTTAAATTTTTTATAATTTTGTTTTGTTTTGTTTTGTTTTATTTATTTATTTATTTATTTATTTAGTTTAATTTTTTCTTTCATCTCTATGGTTCTCCATCTCCTTTTATTTTTTCTCTTTATTTCTTAAATTTATTTATTTTTTCTAATCGAGACTCTTAGGCAGTATTTTAATATCATAATTATGAAGAATTTTGGCCCATCAAGACTCTACCAATATCGGAAGTCTCGGCACAAATAAAGATTCTCAAATAATATTTAAATATCAAAATAGTCCTACTGTGAAGTATTCTAGTCCCAATACATGGTGTCCAAATCCTGTTGCATGGTATTCCAATTCCAATGCCATTTTTTCCTCCAAGTATTGTAAGAGAAAGGGTGAGCATTCTAACGTCCCACTCCCCACTCCTACTCTGAAGTCCTAAGTCTCGACTCCCTATTGCCTCAACCCTCTACTCTCTTAAGTCCTACTCCCAATCCCTGTCAAAGACATATATATGTAAATCAATAATTACCTATATGATTTAGATAAAAGTAAGTAAAAATAGATTAATTCTATAATATCTTCTATAGAAATTTTTTAAAAGCTTCATAGATGCTACTTTGACTTAACAGGTGTCTTTAATTGATTTTTTAGATTAGAAACATGATCAATAAGTTGGCCATATGCCACACATGTTGGTAGCTTAAAGAAAAAGCTAACTATGTGGTCCACACATAGAAAATTTGCCTTCTAAGCTAAAGCATGTGTCTTATAAAGTCAACACATATGAGAGGTCCTATAGAACATTTCCACATAGCTCTTAATTAGATAGTATATATAGAGGCAAGAGTGAAGCCTTCTTCACTCTTGTCAATTCTTTTGTTGCTTCTAGTCTAGATTTAAGAGTCTCTAGTTTCCTTATCTTTTGGCAATAGCTATTCTAATTTCCTTTTAATATACATAATACCTTGTTTCTATTTGTCAGTTTTCTTTTAACACAGGTTTTTTAGATTTATGCATCTTCTTCCAATTCATGTCCTTGACAATCCCTAAGTTCCATTCCTTTGCTGCTCCTTCAATTCTACTTTCCACTACTTATTTCTAATTTATTTTATTTTATTTTATTTTATTTTATTTTTTCTAAATATTGTAAGATAGCTAGGAGAGGGGTAGAGAATTGGAATTAGAGTCCTTGAATGTATTTTTTTCTAAGTGTTATAAGATAGTAAGGGGAGGGAATAGGCAATTGGAAGTGGAGTCCTTAAATATTTTTTTTTTCAAATATTGAAAGGTAGTAGAGGATGGACACCCTAAAGTTTGATTAAAAGAAAGAACTAACAAATCATTGAGATGGTGAAGTTGAATCTCAATGGATTGTAGTAGCAAGGCTACTCTACCACTTATAATACCTCGTTCCATATTTAAATCATCTCCAAAGGATTCAGCTCTTACATCATTTGGAATTATAATGCTAAGCATCCAAATTGTCATCTTTCACCACTATGGAAGAGCTTTCAATAGACATCCCTACTAATAGTCAAGTAATAATTGGAGAAGAAGAAAGTACTGCTTCTAGCATGGATTTTGACTTAGAGGCATTCAATAATAATTTTAAATATGGTAGCTTTATGTCATTGACTTTTCAATCAAATGCAATGATCAATTATATAAATCAATGATTACTCTTATACTTAATTGAATTACTATTGCAACATCGATCATCAATAGGGATCATAAAACTAACTTGTATCACAACGATTTAAATCTAGCTCACATTCTATATTAGTGGATGAATAATCTAATACTTGATGAATTCTGCTTTATAATTATAGAAAGAGCGGATATTGAAGGATCAAAAAGTAATATTACTATGAATGCTTTGTTGTTACAAGCCAATTATTCATGTAGTAACTTTTTTGATACCTCTAGCTTCAAATTCCAAAAAGACTAAAAGAACAATAGGCCATGCTTTCTCAATTTATATTCATCTTGAAAATCAAAATCAAATGAGCTTTCACCCTTTTATTCTATATGAGATTATTTTTCTCGTTGAACTCATCTTAGAATACCTATATTATCTTTTAGATATGCCATTCTAGCAAAATTTTCTACTTAACAATGTCTTCTACTTGGATTGGAGCCTCAAGGGACACATTAAAATCAAAAGTAGGGACAAAGTTCCACCTCTACCTCATGGAATCAATAAAATAACATTAACAATAGTAGTATTTTACTAGTGAATTTTAAAGAGCTTCCACTTATTCTATACGTTTTAAGTCATTTCACAAAGTTGGACTAGAATCAAGCTCAACGGGATCTTCTTTGCTTAATAATTCTTCTAAGCCTATATCTTTGCCTGTGGTTTCACTAGATAGTATATAGGGACAATAGAAATCTCATTAATCCATCTATACTTGTTATTAATTAGATGACAAAATATTTGGCTAAAATGATTTGATCTAATCTTAGAGTCTTTTTTTAATCTTTTTAATTATAAATAAATATAGATAGAAAGTATATAAAAATGATATAAAGTCATGAAATTGATATAAAAGTAAAAATTTAGTGAAAGTGATAATAAAAGTGACCATACTATCATGACCATGATAAAATCATGAGAACATAATTAATCTAATAATAAACTCATAATAAATTCAAAAAAATAATAATAATATTTTTAAAATATATAAAAATAATAAAAAAATAAAAAATAAAAGATAAAATCTAGAGCTCATTTTTGTTCTAGAGCTTATTGTCTAGTACCTAGTATAAATGAAAGATATAAATCTAGAGCTTATTGTCTACCTTAATAAGTGTTGGATATCTATTGAATTGCTTCATTTTTATTATATTGATGATATCATTGTTCACGTTCATCTCCATGCTTCTTACTAGTACTATTGTACCTCAACTTGTGACCACCTAATAAAAGAAAAAATCTCATGAGATTCAAAACATAGGAATCCAACATTCATTGACAAGACATGGATTGCTACCAATGATCTTGCTTTGTAATGTTTTGTATTGATGGCTATTAAGAAAATGTTAAGCCAATATATTTATGAATCTTTGGGATGGTCGTAAGGTTCAAATGACTGTTTGGCTTATGAAATTTAATGGTTTAATATGGAGGGTCTTGGTGATGGATATTTCAAATCGCTACATAGCCCTATACAATCCTTTGCCACCATCTTTAACTCTTTGGAGTCTCAAATACATCAGAAAGAAACCTTGATAGCTTAGGAGTCTCGAGAGTCATAGCTCGATTTATATTAGTGGGACTTATAGTAGGGCAATGCTTTCTCTATCTCATACTTGCACTCAATCTAGTAGTGGTCTTGATTGAACCACAAGGGAGGAGCTCGATACTGCCACTTAATCAAGCAGAATTGGAATGTGATAATAGCATCAATGGCTAGTGACACAATTTAAGCTATGATTTTTCAGTTGCCTTTCCTCCAATGACCACTCGAGTCACCCTCAGCTTTATACATGTCTCCAATGCCACAACACTTAATGAAGTATTCATATTTTAATAGTTTGGAAATAAAAATTAGCCCTTCAATAGGAGCGTAATTTTGTATTTGATGAGCCATCATCTCTATTATCATTTGTGCTAGATTTACAAGATACCTTTAGCTCATGATAAATGACCATTACTTATTTCGCTACCTAAGAAGTGGATACTATTGGTAGATTTTAGAGTGTAGAGAAATGACTTGCATATCATTTCTAGCATGGTTGATTTTTTTTCACTCTCACAACTAGGATGTTGGTCACAAGGAATACCATGTCTTTGAGCTCTATGACATTAAAGTCATGGATGCTCATAGAAGTTAAGAGAAGGTGGCCATTATTGATTTATAGCAACACTAGCAGTTACAACATCAATCTTATTGGTAATGACTTATTGAATGCAAGTAAAGACATTGAAGTTCCTAGAAGATGAATCACACAAGAACTTACGTAGTGACAAAAGGCACAATATTTAATATCAATGAAGTTTGTAGAG